CTGAGATTTGGTTAATGTCATTTGATTTGGACAATGGTAAACAGAAACTTCAAGTAGATTTACTATAGTACTACCAAACACAATGTCAACATGCTAATGATTAGCAAGACAATGATTACTATGTCCAACTGCTAACCTTTGCTAATTTGCATTGAACAAAAGGTTGCTTAACATGATGGTGGTGATTGATAAAAAGTGAGTGGATCAAAACGCTTTAAAAGGGATCTTGTTGGGATCATAAATATCTGTATTTTTATTTATTTGTCTTGTGATAAAAACACAGGTGGGTTGTACATTTAAAACTTCATTTAGTACATATAGTACATCATCATATAATTGCCAAAGTTGTCAGCTCAGTGTTGAAAATAATAATAATAAATAATAATAATGGATTACATTTTTTATTAGAGCGCTTTTACAGGTGCTCAAAGCGCTTTACAAATAAATATTACACATATTAGACATGTAAGAGTCATTACTGTGGACATTACCCACAGGAGCAAATGCGGGTAAAGTGTCTTGCCCAAGGACACAACGGCCAAAATAGTTTGAATAAAGAAAGTTAAAAGTTCAAAACAACAGTGAAAAGTCATTATACAGCAACATTGTGCAACTAAGACGACATCGTGTGAGGAAATCAACTGAAGCGAGCATTACTATTCTTATTTTTTGTGCATGTTAGAAAACTGATATATCCATATATTTGTCAACAGGAGACCATTCCCCTGCTGACTGTAATGCCTCCCACAAAGAGCTCCATTCACTGGACTTTGTCAGAGGTGTTTGGGCAGCGGAGGGTTTTGGGATTCGGAGCTCTGCTGGCATGGCTCGTCCTCTTCCACCTGCTGGTCAACGTCTGGCTGCTCTGCGTCTTCACCAGTCTCTTGGTGGTCCTCGGCGGTTGGCTGGGGTCCCGCGTCATGCTGGACACAAACAGCCTTCTCCATCTGGAACACTTTTTGCCTCTTGGCAGTATGAACCCACCTCTGTACTCACCTGAACATGAGTGGAGGTTGAACAATGAGATCCACAATGCCGTCCACAAAGCGGTGCGGGACTTTGTGTCTTCGTGGTATCGAACTCTGCTGCCAGAGGTGGAGGGGGAGTTCGAACGTGCGGTGCGTAACTCGATGCTGGAGTCAGTGATGGAATTGAAGGAGCGTGCGCGGCGAGTTGACAGAAAAGCTCTAGTTCAACGGCTGCTGGAGCTTTATGGTTGTCACCTGCAGAGCTACATGGCGGCGAGACACATACAGTCGACGCAGAAGGAGAGCCTGAATCTGTGGCGGCTCTACAGTGAAGTGGATGCCCCTCACCCAGCCGTGAGCACTGCATCTGCTGAGCTCAGCTACTCCAGGGCCTTAGTTAACCTCGTCTTAAATGTACTGGTTCCATTCCCTCAAATGGAAACCAGGACCGGCGGTTACATGGTTACAGAACTCATCACCTGTAACGTGCTGCTGCCGCTCATAAACAGGGTGTCCGATCCTGACTGGCTCAACCAGACCATTGTCGACGTCATCACCAAGTCCAGAGAACCACAGGAAATCAATGTGGATGAGTTCCCAGCTGCAACTGGACTACACAGATGTGATGTTCAGAATGAGTCCTGGATCACCTGCAAGTCTCTGTCATCGTCTGATCCAGCCAGCTTCACCAGCAGAAGCTCCTCTGATCAGGACGATCCACAGAGCACCATGTCTGAGAGAGACTCCTCCCTGAGCAGCATGGTGAGCCTGATGTCTGCGGGGAATGTGGAAAGTTGTCCCGCAGGTTTGCCCTCACCGTGCAAAGTCAACTGCTGTTCCCTCGCGCCCGGCCACTTCTCCCCCTCGATAAAGTCCAAAAGGATTTTATATGACTCCTTAATCCAGACGGACTCAGAAGACGACCTGACAGGAGGCTTTTGTGAATGTGGCCCTCCAACAAACTTCTGCAACGTGATGAATTTTAAGGATGATGAGGCGTTCGGTTGCTTTGGTCCGCTGAAGAACCTGGGGGCGAAGGTGGTGTTGCCCGAGGAATCCCAGTGGCCAGCAGGAATAGCCCTAGGGAAACCCCAGCCATGTTCTCCAAAAATATTCTCTCTGACCCCCTGCGACTTTGACACCCAAGCTGCACCAATGAACATCCAGAACGTGCAGATTTCTGGCACTATCAATGCAGTAGAGCAGCGCGGCACAAGCATACATCCCTATACACTTTACACTGTAAAGGTAAAGCCACCTACTACTTGCAGATATATAAACTATATGATATGTCAGCCTACTCACTGTAGTGCTCCTTATCATCTGTTTCCTCTGAATAACCTGTCCGTATCATTTGTGTCCACTTTAATTGTCTTCTCCATGATGGTATGTTTGTATTTTTATCATGTTCTGTTGCCTTGACCTCTTAGAATATTTAACAAATTGTACGGTGTCCTTGGGTGTCATGAAAAGCGCCTTAAATAAAATGTATTATTATAAACAGTCAACATATTGATAATCACACTTTAACCTCCACTTCCTGTTTTACAGTTTGAGAAAATGGGCGAAACGGAAAACGGTGGCTCTCCACAACCGGCTTCCTGTCACACTGTCAACCGGAGATATAGCGAGTTCCTCAACTTGCAAACACGTCTAGAGGAGAAACCCGAAGTCAAGAAAGTTATCAAGAGTAAGAAATGATTGTCTGCTTTAATTGACCATTGGATTTTACCGTACCAAGACACATGCACCATCACAAATCAATGTAATGGATTTCAGATGTCAAAGGTCCAAAGAAAATGTTCCCTGACCTCCCGTTTGGCAATGCAGAGTGCGACAAGGTGGAAGCCCGTAAAAGCCAGCTGGACACATTCCTGAAAGTAGGTTTTCACAACTTTTATGATGTGCTTGCTGTGATTCTGTCATTTTAAAGATTTTTTTGTTCTCCTAGCAATTAAGCTGTATCCCTGAGACATCCAACAGTGAGGACATGCAGGAGTTCCTGGCTCTAAACTCAGACGCCTGCACATATTTTGAAGAAAGAAGAAGACCTTTAGTCAAGTCAAGGATTGATAAGGTGAGAAAGAATCTAAATGCTGTATATCCGGAGAGGACAGAGAGTGATTGTAAGAAATGTAGTTTGGCATTTCCCTGACAAAGTAAGATTAAAAAGTGAGAACAATCTACAAGGACATTTGGAGAGGAAAGACATCTCTCGTGGCTGTTTTTCATTACCGGATCCGTTGCAAAACGTAATGGGTTCTTCAGTTCTTAAAGGTCCCATGTCATGCTTTTCCGGTTATTACCCGTCCCCCTGTGTGTTATGAAGGTTTTTATGCATGTAAACGGTCTGCAGAGTCACAAACCATCAAAGTACACCCTTTAGTTGCTAGTGACTTATCCGACCGGCCCACATCGTCCGACCGGCCCACATCGTCCGACCGGCCCACTTCAGTTCCGGCCCATCGGGATTCGTCACGAACATCCCGATGGCCAGTCCGCCCNTTTTCAAACATTTACCTTATTATTTACCTACAGTGCAGTAAACTATCTATACTGTTTACCATTGTCCAAATCAAATGACATTAACCAAATCTCAGTCACAATAGATAGTTTACTGCACTGTAGGTAAATAATAAGGTAAATGTTTGAAAACCAGCACAACATACTGATCAGCCTACAGGACTACAAGCAAAAGCATTGAAGCTACTTGAGATGCCTCAGGCAAACCTTGATTACAGATACTGCACACCTAGCACATGGGGCTAAAATACAGTCTGCTGACATGACACTGTGGTTTTAAAGGAATATTCACCCTGCTGTAAAACCAGCTTTGAGAAAATAGAGCATACATTACCTTAAAGGTGTTAGGAGCTTTAAAACACAGATACAGGTCGCATAGGATCCCCTCCTCCTCCAGGACGTGGCTTTAATCCTCCAACAAAGGATTATCTGCATTAGTCTGCAGAGAAAAGACACACACAGAGCACATAGGGACAGATAACTAGCTGTTAAGGGAACTTTGACCTGCCATCAAGCACACATTCACAGCCCCATATGTTCATGTATTGTGTTTGCATAAACTTATGCAGAAAACAGAAATGTATGTTTATAAATAACATAATAAATTATGTTAATGTTAAAAAAAAAGTATGACACACACATACGTAAATAACATCAAATGTTGGTAATTAATCAGAACTAAAACTCTTAATTTACATTTTAAATTAAATAAAAGCAAAATATATTGGAGCGCTATTGTGAATTTCTGGAATAATTTTTTCTCATTTTTCATCCTTCATAAAAAGGAAATAAGTGAACATGAGAAAAGATAAATCATACGCACACCTTGTCTAATTAATACATGTTTTTACTATTATGATTCTGATATATTTCTCTGCTAGAATTACTTGTCTGCTAGAATTACTCGTCAAAAATAGTAGAAAGAATACTTCAGCAGTTTCCATCCAGTGGTCAAAAAACTTAACACATCTTGTTAATATGTGTAGTAGTAGTAGTAGTAGTAGTAGTAGTAGTAGTAGTAGTAGTAGTAGTAGTAGTAGTAGTAGTAGTAGTAGTAGTAGTAGTAGTAGTAGTAGTAGTAGTAGTAGTAGTAGTAGTAGTAGTAGTAGTAGTACTAATAGTACTGTAGTAGAACCTTTATTTAGCCAGGAAAATCAATTAAGAACAAATTCTGACTCAATGTCAGGGTTGGGGAAAATCGGGACCCAAATGCAGGATGAGGAGAAGCGGGTTTTGAACAAAAAGCGAGCTTATATACCTATCATGCAAAATGCACTCTTGTACGTCTTTTATACATGAATATGTGTCCCCGGTGTGTCAGGGAACTCACCAAGTTTCAGAAAACACAACCCTCTCTCTTTTCCTCCATAGAGTGGCGAAGTCACGCCCATCTACTTCCGGTCCATGGGACCTTATTTTGGAAAAATTATGCCTTGAAGTCAATGGAGAGAGAAAACGTATCTTTCGATCCCGTTTGAATTGTGCCATGAATTACACATATGATGTTTGTCTTAATCTTAAAAAATAATTTCCATGTCAAAAAAGTCACAGTTTGTCGTAAAACTGTTGAAATATAAGACTATGAAAAATACGCAACTAGAAGGACTACAAATCCCAGAGTGATGTCATAACTGTTTTCCTCCACCAAGAGATAGCTAAAATAAGCGCCATATAGACATAATCTATCTATATAATAATAGTTATTGAGAAAGCAGTCGCAAAACAGCTGTGTGATTACTTAAAAATCTATGATTTATTTGAAGATTTTCAGTCTGGCTTTAGAACACAACATAGCACAGAGACAGCTCTGGTTAAAGTCACAAATGACATTCTAATAGCCTCAGACAAGGGACTTGTCTCTATTCTTGTTTTGCTTGATCTCAGTGCTGCATTTGATACTATCGACCATGATATCCTATTGCAAAGACTAGAGCACTTAGTTGGCATACAGGGAACTGCTTTAGGCTGGTTTAGGTCCTATCTATCTGAACGCTCTCAGTTTGTACGTGTCAACGATGAATCTTCCATGCGAACCAAAGTTAGCCATGGAGTGCCACAGGGCTCAGTGCTTGGACCTATTTTGTTCACACTATATATGCTTCCGTTAGGCAATATTATAAGGAATCATTCTGTAAACTTTCATTGTTATGCGGATGATACTCAACTATATTTATCAATCAAGCCTGATGAAATTAATCATCTAAATAAAATTCAAGACTGCCTCAAGGACTTAAAAACGTGGATGACCTTACATTTTTTTATGTTAAACACGAAGTTATTGTACTTGGCCCAAAGAATCTACGAAACAAATTATCTAAAGATATACTAACTATGGATGGCATTAATTTGGCCTCCAGTGAGACTGTAAGGAATCTTGGTGTTATATTTGATCAGGATTTATCCTTTAACGCCCACATAAAATTAATTTCAAGGACCGCCTACTTCCATCTACGTAACATTGCAAATATCAGGCATATCTTGACTCAAAACGATGCAGAGAAACTAGTCCATGCATTTGTTACTTCAAGGCTGGATTATTGCAACTCCTTATTATCAGGCTGTTCTGGCTGCCTTACACTGGCTCCCTATAGAACACAGGATAGAATTTAAAATTCTTCTTCTCGCCTACAAAGCCTACCCTTAAGTGGGCAGGCGCCATCTTACCTTAAAGAACTCATTATACCCTATTGTCCTACTAGGGCATTGCGTTCCAAGAATGCAGGGTTGTTGGTTGTTCCTAGAGTCTCTAAAAGTACAATGGGAGCCCGAGCCTTTTCTTATCAAGCTCCACTTTTGTGGAATCAGCTTCCAGTTTGTGTTCGGACGGCAGACACCCTATCCGTTTTTAAGAGTGCGCTTAAGACCTTCCTTTTGATAAAGCTTATAGTTAGGGCTGATTAGATTCAGCCCCTAGTTTTGCTGATATAGGCTTAGTTTGTCGGGGGACATCTTACTTCTTCCTTCTCTCTGTCTATACCTGTGTACTCTCATGTTCCGATTAACCCAGCTTCCCCAAATTTCTTTCTTTTTGGTGTCTATATACGCCGGGATCCGGAGTCATGGATGATCCTGCGGNGTGTGCCTTGGCAGTCTCAGATAATAGGAAGATGAATCCACGAGGATATCCATCCAGGACTTGTGATCCAGGACCACAGCCACGACTCAAGATCCAGGACTCGCGATCCATGACACAGGACCGCAGGATCATCCATGACTCCGGATCCCGGTGTATATAGACACCAAAAAGAAAGACATTTGGGGAAGCTGGGTTAATCGGAACATGAGTACACAGGTATTGACAGAGAGAAGGAAGAAGTAAGATGTCCCCCGACAAACTAAGCCTATATCAGCAAAACTAGGGGCTGAATCTAATCAGCCCTAACTATAAGCTTTATCAAAAAGGAAGGTCTTAAGCGCAATCTTAAAAACGGATAGGGTGTCTGCCGTCCGAACACAAACTGGAAGCTGATTCCACAAAAGTGGAGCTTGATAAGAAAAGGCTCTGGCTCCCATTGTCATTTTAGAGACTCTAGGAACAACCAACAACCCTGCATTCTTGGAACGCAATGCCCTAGTAGGACAGTAGGGTATAATGAGTTCTTTAAGGTAAGATGGCGCCTGCCCATTAAGGGCGAGAAGAAGAATTTTAAATTCTATCCTGTGTTCTATAGGGAGCCAGTGTAAGGCAGCCAGAACAGGAGTAATGTGGTCCCTTTTCCTAACTCTGGTTAGTACACGAGCTGCAGCATTTTGAATCAGCTGAAGCGACTTGACTGACTTCTTGGTACACCCTGATAATAAGGAGTTACAATAATCCAGCCTTGAAGTAACAAATGCATGGACTAGTTTCTCTGCATCGTTTTGAGGCAAGATATGCCTGATTTTTGCAATGTTACGTAGATGGAAGTAGGCGGTCCTTGAAAATGATTTTATGTGGGTGTTAAAGGATAAATCCTGATCAAATATAACACCAAGATTCCTTACAGTCTCACTGGAGGCCAAATTAATGCCATCCATAGTTAGTATATCTTTAGATAATTTGTTTCGTAGATTCTTCGGGCCAAGTACAATAACTTCAGTTTTGGTGGTGTTTAACATAAAAAAATGTAAGGTCATCCACGTTTTTAAGTCCTTGAGGCAGTCTTGAATTTTATTTAGATCAGGGGTTCTCAACCTTTTTTGGGCCAGCGCCCCCCTGTCCATTATCCAGGTCTCTTACCGCCCCCCATCAAAAAANCAAAAGGACACCAGAAACAAAATTGTAGACCTGCACCAGGCTGGGAAGACTGAATCTGCAATAGGTAAGCAGCTTGGTGTGAAGAATTCAACTGTGGGACTCCCACAGTTGAATTCTTCACACCAAGCTGCTTACCTATTGCAGATTCAGTCTTCCCAGCCTGGTGCAGGTCTACAATTTTGTTTCTGGTGTCCTTTTGACAGCTCTTTGGTCTTGGCCATAGTGGAGTTTGGAGTGTGACTGTTTGAGGTTGTGGACAGGTGTCTTTTATACTGATAACGAGTTCAAACAGGTGCCATTAATACAGTTAACAAGTG